TTACAACACATAGAATAATCATATCAGATCACAAAATGGAAGACAATTACACAATACTGGGAATCATGGCCTAGCCAAGTTGACACGCTTTTTGGGAGGATACAATTCAATCCATAACACCAGTCTAACCTAAACCCATAGGTCAGGCCATTCTTCTCATCTCAGCCTGTGTGACCGATCTAAAATGTAATCAGCTATCTCCTGCTTAAACACATTCCATAGTTCTCTGTCATCCATAGGATGGAGTCCAAGTTCCTTAATATGCCACTCGAGGTCCCCCATGATGTGACCACAGGCAGTCTCTTCAGTTTTATCATCTACTGTAAGTCAGTAACAGAAGGAAAAATGGAAATTTCCCAAATATGTGGAAATGAAACAAGATAGGGCTAAACAACCAATAGATCAAAGGAGAACTTACAAGGAAAATCAGAAAATATTTAGAGGGTTGAGGGCTGTGGGGATCATGGTCTCAGGGAACATCTAGCTCAACTGGCATAACATTCTGCTTTGGTGAGTAGCGTCTGGGGTCTTAAAAGCCTGTGAGTGGCCATCTAAGATACTCCACTGGTCTCACCCCTTCGGGAGCAAGGGAGAATGAAGAAAACTAAAGACATAACGGAAAGATTAGTCCAAAGGACTAATGGACCACAGCTACCACAGCCTCCACCAGACTGAGTTTAGTACAACTAGATGGTGCCCAGCTACCACCACTGACTGTTCTGACAGGGATCACAATAGAGGGTCCCAGAGAGAGCTGGAGAAAAATGTAGAACAAAATTCTAACTCACAAAAAAAGACCAGACTTACTGGTCTGACAGAGACTGGAGAAACCCCAAGAGTATGGCCCAGGACACCCTTTTAGCTCAGTAATGAAGTCACTCCTGAGGTTCACCCTTCAACCAAAGATTAGATAAGCCCATAAAACAAAATGAGACGAAAGGGGCACACCAGCCCAGGGGCAAGGACTAAAAAGTAGGAGGAGACAAAGAAGCTGGTAATAGGGAACCCAAGGTTAAGAAGGGAGAGTGTGGACATGTCGTGGGGTTGTTAATCAATGTCATAAAACAATATGTGTACTATTTAATGAGAAGCTAGTTTGTTCTGTAAACCTTCATCTAAAGTAAATAAAAAAATACTTAGAGACTAATGAAAATGAAAGCACAACATACCAAAACTTATTTATGGGATGCAGTGAAAGTAGTGCTAAGAGGGAAATTTACAGATGTAAATGACTACATTTAAGAAGAAAAAAATCTCAAATCAATAACCTAACTTTACACCTTGAAGAACTAGAAAAGGAAGAGAAAACTAACTCCAAAACTACCAAATGAAAAGAAATAATAAAGATTAGAGTGAAGATAAATAAGAGGATAGAAAACAATAGAGAGAATCAACTAAGCCAAAAGTTGGTTCTTTGAAAACAGCAATTAAACTGACAAACTTTTAGACTGGCAAATGTAAGATGCAAGTAACTAAAATCAGAAATGAAAGTTGGGACATTACTACTGACTCAACAGAAATGAAAAGGATTAAAAGAGAATACTAAGAACAATTATACACCAACAAATTAGACAATAACCTAGATGAAATGAATAAATTTTTAGAAAAACATAATTTACCTGAACTGATTAAAGAAGAAATACAAAATCTCAGCAAACTAATAACAGGTGAAGAGACTGAATCAATAACCAAAAACCTCCCAAAAAAGTAACAGACCAGATAGTTTCACTGGGGAATTCTATCAAACATTCATAGAAATGATTCTAATCCTAACTAAACTTTTCCAAAAAATAGAAGAGGAGGAAAACTTCCTAATTCATTCTATGAGGCCAGCATTACCCTGATACTAAAGTCAGATAAACACACCACAAGAAAACTACAGACCAATATCCCTTATGAATATAGATGCACAAATCCTCAACAAAATACTAGTAAACCAAATCCAAAAGCATTTTAAAGGATTATACACCATGACCAAGTGGAATTTATCCCAGGAATGCAAAGGTGGTTGAACATAAGAAAATCAATCAATGTACTATACCACATTAGTAGCATGAAGGAAAAATAAAATTATCATCTTTATTGATGCAGAAGAAGTATTTGACAAAATTCAACACCCTGTCATGACAAAAACACTCAACAAGCTAGGAATAAAAAAGAAATCCCTCAATATGATAAAAGGCATTTATGAAAAACCCACCGCTAACATCATCCTCAGTATGGAAGGACCGAAAGCTTTCCCAAGATTAGGAATAAGACAAGGCTGCCTACTTTCACCACTACTATTCAACATTGTACTGGAAGTTCTAGCCAGAGTGACTGAGCAAGAAGAAACAAAAGGTATCAAAATTGGAAAGGAAGAAGTAAAACTATCTCTATTAGCAGATGACATGATTTTACACTTCGAAAATCCCGAAGGATCCACAAGAAAGCTACTAGAGCTAATAAAAACAAATTCAGCAAAGTTGCAGGGTACAAGATCAACACACCCAATTCAGTTGTATTTCTCTACACCAGCAATGAATGAAACCAGAAGGAAACTAAGAAAACAATTCCACTTACAATAGCATGTAAGAGAATAAAACACCTAGAAATAATTTAACCAGGGAAGTGAAAGACCCGTACGCTGAAAACTATTAAAACATTGCCAAAAGAAATTAAAGACCTAAATAAACGGAAAGACATCCTGTGGTCATGGATTGGAAGACTTAATATTGCAAAGATGTCAATACTACTCAAAGCAAGCTACAGATTCAGTGCGATTTCAGTCAAAATCCCAACACCCTTTTTTGCACAAATGGAAAAGCTGATCCTAAAATTCATCTGAAATTACATGGGGTCTTGAATAGTCAAAGCAATCTTAAAAAAGAACAAAGTTCAAGAACTCAAACTTCCCAATTTCAAAACATACTACAAAGCTATAGTAATCAAACAATGGTGGTACTGGTATAAAGATAGACATACAGACCAATGGAAGAGAATTCAGAGTCCAGAAATAAACTCAAACATCTATGGCCAATTGATTTTCAACAAGGGTGCGAGATCCATTCAATGGAGAAAGAACAGTGTCTTCAACAAAGCATGCTAGGACAACTGGATTTCATTCAGAATAAAGTTGGACCCCTACCTCACACCATATACAAAAACTAACTCGAAAAGCGATCAACAGACTAAATATAAGAGCTAAAACCATAAGACTCTTAGAAGAAAACATAGGAGTAAATCTTCATGGCCTTGGATTTGGCAATGTATTCTTAGATATGACACTGAAAGCATTAGACACAAAAGAAAAAATAAACTGAACTTCATCAAAATTAAAAACTTTTGTGTATCAAAGGACATTATCAAGAAAGTGAAAAGACAATCTACAGAATGGGAGAAAATATTTGCAAATCATGTATCTGATAACGGTTTAATATCTAGAATATATAAAGAAATCCTACAACTCAACAACAGAAGACAAACAACTCAATTTAAAAATGGACAAAAGACTTGAACACACATCTCTCCAAAGAAGATATACAAATAGCCAATAAGCACATAAGAAGATGCTCAATATCATTAGTCATTAGGGAAATGCAATCAAAACCGTCACAAAAGGTCATATATTGTATGATTCCATTTATATGAAATGTCCAGATTAGGCAAATCTAGAGACAAAAAGTAGAATAGTGATTGCTTAGGGCTGGAGGTGGTGAGAACGAGAGTAACTGCTAATGGCCAAAGGATTTTTTTGGGGTGATGAAAATGTTTTAAAATTGTGATGATGGTTGTACAGCTCTGTGAATATACTGAAAACAACTGAACTGTACACTTTAAATTGTATAGTATGTAAACTGTACCTCAAAAAAAACACTATTAAAAAAAAAAAAAGGTCTTACTAGGGGAAGTGAGAAGAGAGATGCTGTGAGGCAATGCCCCTTAGGAAGAGAACAGAAAAATCCAGATTTTCAAGGCAATAGAGACACTTTATGTTCCGGTAGGTCTTGAGTCCAAGCCTTTACTAAGAAAATTAGCTCAAAGGTAGAAAGAAATTTTGTGTCAGGTTGTAAGAATTAAATGGTTTATAAATGTTAAACACTAAGGTGCTGTACAAATGTGAGGAATATTATTGAAGTCTGGAATCAAGTAATAGAGATATATTTTCAGCAACTATTTAATGTCTCAGATATACCAGCTGGGTAGTCTTTCCCTGTAGCTGTAGTCAAAGAACTAAATCTGGTCTATATCCTTTTAATGATAAACCTATATGTACATACCAACAACTATGCATAATGTCTAACAAAAGGTAGGCAAGCTCAGCAAGTGTTTCTTAAATGAACAAATAAAGGAAAAACAAAGTAATGAAATGAAAAGCCACCCAGCTTAATTCCATGACAGTCATTCTTCTCTAGTTCTACTCTGTACCCACAGATACTGAGAAATTTTCCTAGAGAGTATAAGGATAATTAAGTTTAAGTTTACATGGAATATGAAGTGAGGAGCAATTACAATGATTATAAAGCTGTATATTACAGGTTAATTTTAACAATCTCAGAAATAGTTGTTAGAAAAATTATTTCATATCAGAGCACCATTGAGGAAAAGAACAAAATAAGTGTCTAAGAGTCCAGAATTAATAGGTGAGAGTCTATAATCGGTATATGAAAACTGATTGACAATAAATTCAGCTAATTCGCTGAAGATGTAAATAAAACTGGTAATCCAAAGTCAGTTCTTCATAGAGAAATATGTGTTGAAGTTTATCAAAACCAAAAACATCTAGAAACATCAAGACATCAACCAAAATATAAGACAGAAATACTCATTTTATACAGTAGAATATAAATCAGGATTTCCAGGACTTCAAACTGGTTCATTCCAGTTCGACCCCCTGCTGAGAATTTTCCTTTCCACCCCAGACATACTGAATCAGAATCTACATTTTTAACAAGACTCCTAGGTGATTCTTATAGATCACCAGATGATTCTTATGGGTACATTAGAATCACCTGGGGATCTTGTTAAAACGTAGATTCTGATTCAGTATATTTGGGGTAGAAATTAATGAACCAGTTCAAATCCCTAAGGATTTCAAGTCACTTAACCTTTTTTAATCTATTTCCTTACCTGTAAAAGTAGAACTTAACGTAGGTTATATTCTGAGATATAGAACACTGAACACAAGTCATCAAAAAAATCCATGAAAACCACTGAAGCAATAGAGAAAGGAGATTTAAAGAACATTCCATAATTTTCTTTAAAAACTCCATGAAAATTTGGGGTGCATTTTACAAACTAAAGGTGCTAATGATACTTCTCCATATCAGAAATGGGAAACTAGCCACACTCAAAAAGAGCACCAGTTAAGTATAACAATAAGGGATCAGTATGTGTTTGTTTGTACACATGCATGTGTTAAAAAGAGGAAAAAGGCATATATTAAAGTCAGAATTCTATATAGATTTTAAGTAATCTGTCTTAAAATTTCCTTCCTGAACTCTCAAAGAACAGAAAATTTTCTTTTTTCAAATTTGACATTTGTATGAAAATACATGACAAAATTAATCTGACACAGTCACTTAGAAATGTTCATCTTTATTTCAGATGACCTATAGGACCTTGTCCAGATAAAGGTCCTAGAGCAAGTCAGAGGACAACGAGAATTTAAGAGCCTTTCCTGGGTGGCTCTGATGGGTTGTTTGCATGTATAAGGACTCAGTTTTGCTTCTAGGGACCCACCAGTCAAAGCAGCACAACTAAGTCACCTTACCAAAACTGAGAAAGAGTACATTAAATCAATTGATCCTTCTTCTACAATAAGATGAAGCCAAGCCTTACCACCTCAAGCAAACTCACTACTCCTATCTATGATCAAGCAGTAGTGTGGCTGTCAAAGAAGTGCTGGTCTCTCTGAGCCTTTCTTCTCAGGATCCACACATCAGACACTCATCTCTATTCTCCAGAGAGCACACCATGGCTGCTGTGTTCCTCTCCTTCTCTTCTTCCTCTTTTGATACCCTTTCTTTATCTTTCAGCTTCTCCTTATTTAGAGTGAACTGGATCGGATTAGCTGCTGGTCTTGTCCTTAAATAATACATCCCAGTCTTCAAACCCTACAAGGGAAGTAAAAACAACTATCAGAAGAAACCATTTGTGAGGATGCTAGACATTCAAGACCAACGTTGAAATACATTCCCATAAACCAGTTCAAATTCTCTTCTAAACCTGAAATTTTATCTCTACTAAGAAGCCCTTTCAAAAATGCTCAGTGTGTGGAAATCACATAGCTATACCCTGTTTTTTTACCCCTAAATAGGCTTACCTAATTTGGAAATGTCAAATATTTTTGTTCTCTAGTCTATTTTTTTGTTTGCTTTTATGCACATGACTTTTAAGTTTGCCTAAGACAACATGTCTGCCTTAGATTATAACTACTTAAAGAGTTAGACTGTGTCTCTGTATAACAACAGATTATGACTACCTCAAGGATAAGAGAGATCAGTTAAGAAGCTAAGAATAATGGCAGTGGAATAAGAAGAGATTCAAGAGACAGTATAAAGCAAAAACCAACACATCTTGATGAGTGACTGTATAGAGAATAAAGGAAAGGGAGGATCATAGGTAACTCCAAGATTTCAAACCTAAAATGATTTAATCCTAACAGAAACAAGAAAGTCATAAGCCAAGAGCTAATTCGGGTACAAAAACCATGGGTTGGTTTGAACATAGTGGATTTGAAGTGAAAGAAGAAATTCTAGGTGGCACTATTTAATAGCTAGCCAAATTTCCTCCACCAACCTGCTTCCAGCCGTAGAAGTGCATACTAGTGAGTTTGCCATAGTTAGGCTCAGCGATATGGATGTTCAGAGACTGACTTTGATCGATGAAAGCCCCTCTCTCAGCTGCCATCTTGAGTATGGTTTTTTGAGAGATTTCCCACACTGTCTTATAAAGTTGCTTCAGGTCATCAGGAATTTCAGGTATGCTCTGAAGAAGGGAAACCGAACGTTTATTCTACTCCTCTTGAAGAAAGCAGTATGATTCAGAATAACGACCAAAGGTTCCAGTCTTGTTTCTACTTCCTGCCAGATCTGACCATACCATTCAGTATCATATGACATGATCCTTATCAGATTTGCCAAGACTGCTCATCTCTGGTTTAGAAAATTCAATAAGTCCGTATCTAATCAACCAAGTATCATTCTGGTGGTGGTGACTTAAGTATCTATACTTAATTGATTTATGGCCTAAACATGCATTGTTTAGAGGCATTCAAGAAAGGAAGGAGAAGTCAGAACTAAGCAGCAATAAATTACTCTTAAGTTTTGCAGAAAATACAAATAATCAAGGATATAACTCACAAGGACATATCAAGGGAAGCAATGAGACAAAACCCTTTAATTAAACTAGGACTCTATAAACTCCATTTGGAGTCAATAGAAATCAGGTTTTCTTACGTTTAGGGTAAATTCAGCATTAAAACATACAGACTGGCTAACGCTACAGTTCCTGTCATCAAACAGAAAAGTTACAAGAATCTTTCTATATGTGTTGCCATGCACATTGGTGTTTAGTCAGAAGCCTCTATCTACAAATAAGTGCTTCTTGATTCTCAGCTGCAAATAACTTACAGTTAAACACTAATTTGTGAGTCTGTCTTCTGGACTATCAGTCCTCAATCTCCATCATGCTTTTTAATCAAGTCTGACTCTCTAATTTCAGACTTTATATCAGTGGTCCCCGAACTTTGATTCACTTTGGAGTCATCTGAGGAATCTTTAAAAAATACTGATGCCTCACTCCCACCCCCAGACACTCTTATTTAATTGCTGTGGGGTGCAACTTAAGCTCCAGGATTTTAGAAGCTCCCCAACTGATTCTAATATGCAGAAAAGTTGAGCACCACTGCTTCATATTAGTGTACAAACAACAAGAAGGTAAAGGTTATGTGAAGATGTGTAGTGTCTTAGCACAACAATGCATACGTAAGCACAGCCTGTACTACTATTGAACAACCATTCTCTCTCTCCACTGCCTGAGAAGTGAGGATGCACCACAATGTCCAACTCAGCTCTCTGAAGATCACATTTCATTTTCATCCCGTACCTGGATAGAGCCATTGCATGCAATAATCTGGTTTTTCATCTCTTCATTCCACAAGCCTCGCTCAGTAAGATCTTTCAGTAAGTGGGGATTCACAATCTGAATGGAAAAGCAGAAACGATGAGAAGGTATATACAACAATAACAGGGTTTACACAGGACCACAGGCTTAAAGCAAATGAAATCACTGATGAATTAGTTAACATTAAATTTCTTAGTAAATACTATTTTTTATAAAACTGAGAGTACCATCCTACCACATGAAAACTGTATTCCTTTAAGATCTTGACGTGTTATTCAACAAACATAACATACGGCATTTTCAAGTGACAAGAACTAACATTGCCTAACCCGAGTAAATCAATACAGATCATTTTTTTGTTTGTTTTAAATTATTATGTTTTAGATGAAAGTTTACAGCACAAATTAGTTTTTCATTCAAAAATTTTATACACAAATTGTTTTGTGGCATTAGCTGCAATCCCCCACAATGTGTCCGCTCTCTCCCCCTTTGCCTTTCTACCCTGGATTTTCTGTGTCCATTTGTCCAGTTTTCCTGTCCCTTCTTGCCTTCTTGTCTTTGCTTTTGGGCAGGTGTTGCCTGTTTGGTACCGTATACTTGACTGAACTTCTAAGAAGCATGCTCCTCCACGTGTGTTATTGTGGTTTTATAGGTCTGTTTAATCTTTCGCTGAAATTGTTTGTTTTCGTAAGTAAGGATACAATAAATACTTGGGAAAAAACTGAAATGTATCCTCTCCAAACCTTACAAAAATGTACTTCAGGATATCTGGAAATTCATAAATGAAATGCTTTTAAATTAGTGATTCTCAATCCTAGAATCACCTGGGAATCTTAAAAAACAAAAACAAAAAACACTGGTCCCACCTACAAGAAATTCTGATTGGTTCTGTAAACTTTCACCTGAAGTACAATAAAAAAAAAGAAAGAAAGAAATTCTGATTGATAACCAAGGTTGAGAGCCACTATCTTAAATGATGCTTCTATATACTTCTTGAGTATCAACCACTTAAGCATATATCACAACGATTACAGAATGATTAAACACCATGTGAACTCTAATATCAAGCTTCTTTCATTCACTCCTTCAACAAATATTTATTCAATGCCTATTATGTGCTGAAATAGTATGGAGAACATTAGAGATGAAATGACCCACTTTATCAAAGCCTTGCCTTCAAACTAAGAAAAACGGGGCATACTAAATCTGAATGAGCATTTACTCCCAACATCAGGTTTCTGAAAGATCTCTCTGTAGGTCTGGTTGTGATCTCACCTGAAATTCTCCTGACAAGACTCTGCGAGTGTAGATGTTGCTGGTATAAGGTTCAATGGACTCATTATTCCCCAGTATCTGAGCAGTTGAAGCAGTAGGCATCGGGGCAATAAGTAAACTGTTTCTTACACCATACCTAAAGAAAAGGAGATTATTTGGTGCTGGTCATAAAACTACAATCTGCCAGGAAGGCAGCTACTTTAAGTCACTGGAGTAAATGCAGCTGCTGTGAGCAACATCATACATGTATTTGACTCATTATATTGACTTTTGAACTTAACCCCTACAGGGATACAACTTCACAGCATGGGTGGTATAGCTCACGCCTTTCTTAACTGCTGAATTCCTAAACACAACTAGCACTATTTTTACTGCTGGAAATCCTTACCATACCATGACCTGTGCTAATTGCACTGTAGCACTGAGGTATCAGCACTTGATTCACTATCTTGCCCAGGGAAGCACTTGAATCTCGTTTGAAGACTTCCCCACCTGTGTCAAGGTACACTCATTCAACCCTCACTCTTGTCTAAGTGCCTATGTGATCCCTTCCGGAAACATACTGATGTGAAAGTGGTCAGAATCAGACACATATCGTCACAATTCTCCATTATCCTGTGAATAGGGCAAAAAATACGCTCAAAATATATTTCTGACTTCTATTAACTCTTTAGTTATAAGCTGTTAGAAGGTTAACATTTTTAACTTATTCAGTGCCAAGGAGAGTGCTTAAGGAAGAACACACCATCTCACATACTGAGCAATCTTCAAACTGCCCCAGCTCATCAGAGATACCCTCCCTGTTAAGATCTTTCCTGACTAGGCAGGCAACTCCCAATATAAGTGTACCTTTATGTATACTGTACCTTTATGTGTACTTTATCCTGTACCTTTATGTATACTATAACTACTTGTGCTACATGTCTTACCTTAGTCTTAAATTTCTCAAAGACAAACAGCATGTTTCTCTGCATTCTATACCTATGGACTCATACAGTATTACATGTATTATGAGTAATAATACAATTCTAAGGCAAATAAGTATTTTTAAGAGCATTTTTAAGCTACTGTTTCCTTTGTAAACAGTAAGCATTTTGCATAGAGTATCATGATAGAAAATTATTCACTCAAAAAAAATTCTGCCTGCCCTCAAATCTCATGTTTATTAGCTTGAAAGGCCTAAAAAGACCCAAGTTTTAAATTTTTCTTTCATACAGTTTAACACATTACCTTACAAAAATCCCTAACTTATTCCCATGACAACCAATTCAAACAAAGGTCATTTATATGCTCGATGTGGTTAAGCAATAAATAAAAGTAAAAATATTTCAAAACAAACACACTTGGAAATATGAAGGTTTTAATGAGAAAAAAGAATTACCTATGGATAAATCAAGATGGTTAAGCCCAAAATCAAGACTAACTAATAGTAATACACCTACCATGTACTGAACTGTTTTCACTATTGCAAGAAATTTATAGGTTACCACACATATATTATCTTACAAAGTATTCTTACAAAAATAGTCCTGTGAGATAGGTCATTTTAGCCCCATTTAATAGAGGAGGAAAAATGAGTTTCAGAAGTTAAAATGACATACCTAACTTCTAAAGAGCCAGGATGAGAACCCCAATCCTCCTGACTTCAAAACTACTTTACATCTTTATATCTCTTTACTTTACATCTTTATATCTCCTTACTTACTTTGCAATCTTCTCTTTCAGAAGTTTCCAGTCCCATAGGTCTGTAGGAGTAACATTCCACATATCATACTGAAGGATCTAAACAACCCAAATGCATGTTAAGTCACTCTATGGCAATTTAAATCTATGGCAAAAAACAAACGACTAATTTACATTCAAATAAATGCTGCAGAACTGAGTAAGGAATACAAAGTCCAGAAAGTTTCCTGGACAGACTTCCATGTAGTCATATTGATCAGAAACAGGCTAAGAAAACTGGGTAAAGTCTCACCTCTTCCCCATGTCCCTGCTGAGCCTTCTTAGAGGATCAATATCACACTTCCAAACCAGAAAATCCTAACATTCATGAAAGCATGTTGCTGAGATGCATTCTCTTTTACAGCAAAAGCATTACTCTAACCTCATCTTTCTTCATTGTCTTTATCTTCCCCCTGATGTGTTTACTTAGCTAAACCACATTAGACTTCCTAAGTATCAGCAAGCATGTCAGAACTAAAAATAACATCTTATTTTATGTGGGAGAATCATATTACTGACAATAATGTCAGTGTGAAATGCAGAATTCTAAGAAGGCCCCCCAGATTCCCAACCCCTGGTGTATATGCCATGTATAATCTTGAGTGTGGACGGTATCTGTGAATATGATACTGTCTAGGACTATGGCAAAGGAGAAGGATTTTTGCAAATGTAATTAGGGTCCCAAATCAGTTGATTTTAAGTTAATCAAAAGGGAAATTATCCTGGGTAGACCTGACTTAATCAGATGAAAGCCCTTAAAAGAGGCACTAGGCCATTACTAACAAAGAGACTCTCCTACTGGTCTGGAAGAAGCTAGATGCCACAAATTCTACAGCTGTAAAGTAAGGAATTGGTGAGCCTGGAAGACAACCTAAGCCCTAGCCAACACCTTGATTGCTGCCTTGTGACGCCTTGCGAAGATGACCCAGCTAAGCTGTGTCTGGACTCCCGACCCAGGGAAACTGTGAGATAATAAATGTTGTTTTAAGGTGCTAAGTTTAGCAAGAGAAAACGAATACACCTACTCCTCACTTATCGACTATCTCGTTATCCAACACTTCACATTTATGACAACAGTAAAAAAATCTACTATCCAACTATTCTGCACATTAACAATGTACATCTGGCGGTAACGAAGGCCAAGGTGTGAGGTGAGAGTAACGTTGGCTGTGATGGTTAAGGTTATGTGTCAGCTTAGCTGGGCCATGATTCTCAGTGGTTTCACAGTTATGTAATAATGCAATCATCCTCTATTTTGTGATCTGATGTGGTCATCCTCCATTTTCACATAATGCCGATTTTCGCATAACGACCTGGTCTTTGGAACTTAACTCTGTCGATAAGTGAAGAGTAGGTATACAGGCAGCATTGCTTTTGAGCCATTTTAGCAATGACTAGTTCTAAATAAGAGATTAAAATAGAGTATCCTTTCTACTCCAGAGAGCTAAAGTACTGTGTTAGCTTCCCATGGCTAGTATAACAAAGTACCACAAACTTGGTAGCTTGAAACAGTTCTGGACACCACAAGTCCAAAATCAAGGTGTTGAGAAAACCACATTCCCGCCAGAGGCTCTAGGGGAGATTCTGTTAATTGCTTCTCCCAGCCTCTGGCAGCTGCTGGCATTCCTAGGCTTGTGGCTGAATGCTCCAATCTCCGTCTCTGTGGTCAGACTGTCTCCTCTTCTCTGTGTCTTTAATAAGTACTATCGTCACTGGAATTAGGGACCACCCAGATAATCTAGAATTATCTCCTTACTTTAATCTTTAACTTAATTACATCTGCAAAAGCCCTTTTTCCAAATAAGGTAACATTTACAGGTTCCAGGGATTAGAACATGAACATATTTTTTGGGAGCCACCAGTCAACCCACTACAGGTACTCACCGGCAAACAGAAATTTTATCCATATACTTACTCCTTTGCTGACTGGAGAGCCCTCATAGGTTTCATATGGGCCATGCTCCTTGGCCAGTTCACAACTGGCTTCCAGGGCTCCATAATAAATGGTTTCAAAAATTTGCTTATTCAATAACTGGGCGTCTGGACTCTCAAAAGGATACCTCATCAGGATAAAAGCATCTGCCAGACCTTGTACCCCAATTCCAATGGGGCGATGGCATTTATTTGATAAGAATGCCTTTGTGCCAACAGATTTAGAGAAGAAAAAGAGAAAACATTACTGAACGTAAAAAGCACCATTCTGCACCAAATGACACATACTATCTCTTTATCTCAGTTTTCTTACACCATTCCAATGATAACTATTTAAATGATGACTTTCAGACCCTGATAAACTCCCTCCACCTTGGATTTCAATAATTACCAATAAGCAAGAAATCGATTCATACCTCTGGAACAGGGTAGTAATTAATATCAATAATTTTATTCAAGTTACGGACAATAACTTTAGTGACTTCAGCCAACTTCTTAAAGTCATATGTGTGTTCTGATGTGACATACATATTCAGGGCCAGGGAAGCCAAGTTACAAACTGCAACCTAGAATGCAAAAAAAGGAGTCAAGAATCACAACTTTTATTTCTTTCCCCATTTGTTTCAATGGCACCACTATGCAGGCTTCTAACACTCCCGACATTAAAATTTAAATATTAATCCCCTCCCTCTTCATCATTCATCAGTCCATTTCTAAGTCCCACTGATTCCACCTCTCAATATCTATTCACATATGTGAGTAGGAACACGTGCCAGTGAAATAGGTAAGAGGGAGAAAGAACCTGTGTTCACAGGGTACACAGCTCTATTACCAGACATATATCACGTTGTGTTATGATTATCTTAATTTGTCTCATTCAGTAGTTGTGCATTATCTAATATGGTAACCACTCGTCATGTGCAGCTATTTAATTGAAATTAAATAAAATTTAAAATTCATTTTCTCAGTTGTACTAGTGACTAGTCTCCAGATGATTCTCCCAACTGTTGTATTAACACTAGGTGGTGAGCTTCTTCAGACAGAAATCATATCTTATTTATCCTTATAATTTTAACACCTATGACATCTGGTATATATTAAGTGCTTAATAATGTTGAATGACTATACCTTCTTTTCCATTTTGATTACAACTATCCCAATCCAAACTCTCAACTCCTCTCATCTGAACTACTGATACAGTTTCCTAACCGGATTCCCTGATGTTCTTCACATCTACTCCATTCTACACGTCACCAAAGACCCTTTTTTAAAACAGCTTGGATCACATTAAAAACAACAACAAACCCACTGCCGTCGAGTTGATTCTGACTCATAGCGACCCTACAGAACAGAGTAGAACTGTCCCATAGGGTTTCCAAGGAGCAAGTGATGGATTCGAAATGCCGACCTTTTGGTTTGCAGCCAAGCTCTTAACCACTGTGCCACAAGAGCACCATAAGTCCAATAAACGCTAAGGAGAAAAACAATACAGGAAAATAAGATGGAGAATGCTGTGGGTAAGGATGGAGGGTGCCACTTTTCAATAGAGTTGTCAAGGAAGGCCCCACTGAGAACGTGACAAATGAACAAAGAACTAAAAAGGCTAGAAAGCAAACCATGTGGTTATCTGGGGGAGGAGCATTTAAACATTCAAGGTAGAGGAAACAGCAAGTGCAAAATCCTGAGGCAGAAGCATGCTTGACATGTTTGAGGAATATCAAAGAAACCAGCAGGGCTAGAACAGAGTGAGCAAGGTGGAAAGTAACAGCAAGTGAAGTGGAGGTACCCAGGTGTGTAGGACCTTGCAGGGCATTGGAAGGACTCTGAATGGAAAGGAGTAAAGTAGTGGTACATGCTACAACGCAGATAAACCCTGAAAACATTAAGCTAAGTGAATGAAAGAAGCCCAACACAAAAGGCCATATATTGTATGATTCCATTTATATGGAATGTCCAGAATAGGCACATTCAGAGACAGAAAGTAGAGTAGTGTTGGGGAAATAAGGAAATGAGGAGTGACTGCTAATGGGTATAGGGTTTCTTTCTGGGGTGATAAAAATGTTCTAGAGTTAGGTAGTAATGAAAGTTACACAACCTTGTGGATATACTAAAAAACACTGAATTGTACAATTTAAAAGTGTGAATTTTATGGTATGTGAATTATCTCAATTAAAAAAAACAACCTCTGGATGGCAAGAAAGCCATAGAGGAGTTTTGTCCAGAGAAATGACATGATCTAACTTTTGTTTTAAGAGGGTCACTCTAGCCTCTATAATATAATCTTGTATAATAGTTACTTGAATACATGTTAATTTCTTCCTACTAAATTATGTTTCCAGAGGGCAGGGATTGAGCCATATCATTTTGTATTCTGTATTCCCGGGGCACTTAATATAGTGTCTTATACATAGCTGGTGCTCAATAAATCTTGTTGAATTAAATTGCAACTTCAGCATCATATCTAACTCACATCCTACTTATGTCATTTTTCTTTTTTTTTTAAGGAGCCCTGGCGGCACAGTAGTTAGAGCTTAGCTGCTAACCAAAAGGTTGGCAGTTCAAACCACACAGCAGCTCTGCAGGAGAAAGGCCTAGTGATCTGCTTCTGTAAAGATTACAGCCTAGAAAACTGTCAAGGGCAGTTCTACTCTGTCACATGGGGTCGCTATGAGTCAAAATTGACTCAACAGCACCTAACAATAACATTTTTTTTTTAGTTCTAGAATTTGGGATGTTTCTTTCTCATTTCCATAGTTTTAATCCTATATCCAAACAGTCTGCCATCCACTACTACAACAATCTCCTTAGGCTAACCTCCCTATCTCCAACCTCTTCTCACACCAAAACACTCTTTAACTAGAAGCAAGAACCATCCTTCTCATCCTAGCATTTTGACGCTATACTCCTTTCAGAAGCCTATAAGGACTCCTACCTCTAAGACATGGAACCATCAGCTTCCATCTAGTATCTCTCTTCCCCTCTCATAGCCATCTTTCCATAAACCAAGCTTAATGTATTTGCTCCATCAAAATAAACTTAATTGGCACTCAACACAAAATCTATCCTTATCTCTCATCTGCCATATAGGCCGTTCTTCCCAAACGGAATGGAAAGCTTTTTCCAAAACTTTTTCTTTTAAACGAAATCCATGTCCCATTTCTTAGCCTTGCCTCTTCTATGAAATCTCTTCAGATTAGAATTTTGTCACACCTTTCACTGAAAGACTCTCTACATGCTTATATACTTTAATCTGAAAGAGCTTCCTATACATTTTTGTATTTATCTTAAACCATCATAACTGTATATTGCTGTTTTTCTCAAGTAAAGATTATTACAAAGATGTATGTGTAAGAAAAATCCGACCATTTTTAACATGGTTTATAGACTAAAAGATACTTAAGGACACGAATCATGACTCTTACTTCCTTTGTAACTTCTCACTGGCTATATAAGTGCTCTTCTGCTTACAACAAACTATGAAACTCCCTTTACCCATCTCAAGTGAAATGAAGTAATAACTGCCTAAGGTTCTCCCAGTACTCTAAGGCAGAAGTTTTTCTACCCACCTCATCTTTGCTGGTATACTCTACTATTTCTGTGCACAGGTTGCTGCATTTGATTGTTCCCAGGTTCTGCTGGTTGCTCTTCCGATTACAGGAATCCTTGTAGAGCATGTACGGGGTACCTGTCTCTGTCTGAGACTCAATGATGGCATACCAAAGCTGCTGTGCTTTTACAACTTTGCGGACACGACCTTGTTTCTCATAACTGAAAGGCAAAGCTAACACTTTTAGTATTTATACACTAAGAAAATTTTTATTGCCAACAACTTGAAAAACAGACACTAAGATATACAATTATTAAAACTCTTAAGTTTTCAATAAGTTTTGCTAAGCGGGGGAAGGAATATAATAGTCATTTTACTCTGGCTAAAGCCATTTAGTAAAATCAGGCAGCTTTAGATCCCTTTAATGTACCCCAGTCCTACTAAATCAATAATATCTTTCATAATAAAAAGGAAGAACGTAAAGTAGCCAAATCTCCTAATATTTATTAAACCATTGAAATGTGTGCCCTAGCCTCGCATAGTTCCTATGTGCAATATACAGAATAACTTATTTTATCAAATGTATTGTATGACAAAGCAAAACAATAACCCTACTAGTTTTTGCCTTAATTTTTATAAGGATCAATTTAAAATTCTAAGGACTTACTTACATACCCCATAGTTTTAAGAAAGAAGAAAGGAACCAAAATTTTGGTGAAGAATAGGGAGCAAACCTGACCAAAATTAGATTATTAATCACAATCTCTCCTAAAAGTTTCTGAAAATTTCTAGAGACTGGCTAATGAGTGGTATATTTTTGAAATGTTAATCATCCAAGTAAGAGAACACATAGTTAAAACATTTTTAGATTTTTACATTTTTCCCATACCTTTCATATAGCTTCTCAAATTCCTCTCCCCAAACCTCATCCAGGCCAGGACACTCATTTGGACACATCAAAGACCAGTCCTACAAAAGGAAGAACAGTAACACCCATAAGAAATTTCAAATAACCACCCACAGCCCATTAAAAACACTGCAAGCAATGGCTTCTTTTATAGGCTCCTTTGCAGATTTGCTGTGGAAATAATTTTAGGTTCAGGCCCAAACATCTAATTCTGCCTGTTTGTACATAACTTTTAAAACATTTAGGTCTGCTTTTGAGAATAAAATGTAAAAGGGAAGAATGGCATCTCTTAACTTGCTCAGAATGCTTTCCATGGTATCACACATAAGTGGGCCCTTCCAAAGCATGATTTAAGATGACTAAAGAAGAGAGAGCTCCTATTCAGGTCCTATTATTAACAGGTACCCAACTCTCACCTGATTAGTCTCCACTCGTTTCATAAAGAGATCCGGAATCCAAAGGGCAAAGAATAGGTCCCTGGCACGCTGTTCTTCCTTTCCTGTGTTCTTCTTTAAATCAAGGAACTCAAAGATGTCTAAATGCCAAGGCTCCAGGTAAATAGCAAATGCACCAGGTCGCTGATGGTAAATAAATCGTCATTCTTTTCAGAATCGAAATGACACAAGGAAAACTTCCTATTTCCCAAAGTACTTTTATAATATCTCCTTTAATCTTCGCTACAATTAATGAATTCGATGACAGTATAAATAAAAGTATTATAAAAATTTTAAGTAGTAATATTTTTCTTACAATTCTAGGAGTAAGAAAGAGCAATTGACATAAAATATGGAACAAGAAAGATTAAATAACTTGTCCAAAGTGACACAACAAACTTGAGATACAGCCTCTTCACTTACAGTCTAGCTCACTTTACACTATATGAGATGCATGTAAAGCTCAAGGAAAATGTTAACTTTGACAATATAAGCTATGCTCTTTATTAAAGGTCAAAATGGTGATCTGTCTTATCAAGGTCCCCACAGATTATTTTTTAGTCCATCAGAAGGAAATTCATAAACAGGTGATTAGTGTACCTACACATCCATAAGGGACAGCCTAAGTTATAAACTATCTTGCTGATAACTTTGAGTAGATAACCAAATTTCTCTCAACATTATTTTCTCTACGTAAAATTGAGAGGGTTTTTTTGTTGTTGTTCTGTGTTTACATAAAAATGTAGAACACACATTACAACCTCTATCCAAGGTTAGGTATTAAAATGAGTTATAACTTTAGAAATTCTTTACAAATAAACTGTCATGTAAAAAAGCTGAATAGATCAGAGCCTGCCAGGGATATGTGTAGGTGGGAGTGATGGGGAGAGACTGAATGCAAAGGTGCATGAGGAGACTTTTTTAGAGTAATGGAAATGCTCCATATCTTGATTAGGGTGGTGATTACACAAATGTATATATCTGTCAATACTCAACAAACTGTACAATTAAAATATATACAGTTTAAAGTAAATGATACCTCAAAATTGATTTTAAAAGTTAAAAAAACAAAAAAAGCATATACTTAGAAACTATACAATACTGAACCATCACAGTGTAAGCACACATGGCTAAAGCTTTTCAGTTCTGATTTCCAGTACTTTCAAGTAACAGAACATACCTTATTCCCACCTTGATCCACATATCTTGCTGTGTTGTTATACACTCTCAGCATAGGTACAAGGCCATTAGAATTGCCATTAGTCTGAAAGAGAGACCAAGAATAAAGGCATCTGGAGAGACAGAGGCAGCTCAGCAAAGAAAAAGAACAAAATGGCCCAAGAGTGAACAAACGACTCACTCCCAATCTTTTGTCAGGGAGGGTGCCTAATTTCTAGATAGCAATCTATAATTTTACTGCTCTCCCTCTTTACCTCTGTTTTGAAAACATAACATCCAACATAAAATCAACAAAATGTTGTCAAATTAATCACAATCATACACATAATTATTTCATAGCATCTCTAATTTATAATGAAATATAACAATTACAAGTTAAGAGCGCCAAATCAGGGTAAATAAATTTAAACCCTTTGTTTTCTAAAGGTCATTATTAAAGATACACTTTGGGTAGAGTAAAAGTAAAAACACTACTACAATGTCTTTTTCCCAAAAGAATTCAAGGCAACTTACAATAAGAATTATTTGCAATGGATAACTTAGGTCAATAAATAAGGCAAATGGAGATATTCAACAATAAATGGATTCTAGAATGAGAATATGAAAATATCAAGAGTCCTAAGACTGGAAGATGTTGTTGTTAGCAGCTGTCAGGTCACTCCTGATTCATGGTGACCCCATACATGACAGAACAAAACACTGCCCAGTCCTGCACCACTCCATAATTGGCTTCAGATCAGACCATTGTGATCCACAGGGTTTTCACTGGCTAATTTTTGGATGTAGATCACCAGGCCTTTCTTCCTAGATCATCTCAGTCTGAAAGCTCCACTGAAACCTATTCAGCATCACAGCAACACACTAGCCTCCACTGACAGATGGGTGGTGGCTACACATGAGGTGCACTGGGTGGGATCAGCTGGGTCTCCTGCATAGAAGGTGATTTTGCCACTTAACCATCAATGCCCCTTAGACTATAAGAAACCTCATCAAATTCTTAAATAATCCTTCTAACTCCAAGGCAAGTCTTGACACAGTCTAGAAAGATCAGTGAGCGATGGCTCACTGTACTGTTGTGTGAAAGTGCAGTGATATACACAGAACCTTTAAAACACCAGAAAGGAATAGTTTCCTTCTAGAGTCTCTAAGTATAGGTTAATTTTATCCTGCAGGGTTAGGTATCTTCTTCACTTTACCGATAAGAAAACTAACTCAGAGATATAAAATAACTTACTCCAAGCCACACTGCTAATAAGTAGTGGAGTTAGGATTTAAATTCGGGTCTTAGCCAAAATCATTATCTTGACTCCTGACGAACAGTCAACTAGCAAAGGGCTGAAGTTTACATTATAAAGTGCCAATGTTTAGAGCTTGAATCCTGGCTCTAGACCACATATTAAGTGATCTCTGAAAATAATTTAACTTTCTAAGCCCCAGATTCCTCACTTTTAAAATGAAGACAACAGTATCTATACTCACAAGGTTACTGAAAGGTTACTGTTCCTAGCATGTGTCTGTAATGGTATCTATCTCATAAGGTTGCAGTAAGGATTAAATGAGTGATTCATGTAAAACATTACATTTATAACAGACTTAGCACATAGTAAGTACTCAATAAATTACAGCTGCTATTATTTCTAATATAAACCAAATTCCAGAATCAGAGCTAAAAAGGATCCTAGAGATCATCTAAATTAAACCTCTAACAAGACAGATGAAAATGAAGACAGAAGTGAAATGACTCTCTAAGTCACACAGACAGCTAATAATTAACAAAGACAAGGTCTCCCAAACCCCAGTAGGTGCTTTCTCAAACATAAGCCTGACTGCTTATGGACTTAAATTCCCCTGGCCTATACTTTTTTTTAAAGTCATAAGACAGAAGCTTACCCCAGCAATATAGCTGCCAGTAGCTCGGATACAACTCACAGCAACACCAATTCCCCCAGCAGACTTGGATATTAGTGCACATTGCTTTAGAGTGTCATAAATGCCTTCAATGCTGTCATCTTTCATACTCAGAAGGAAACAGCTACAGGGGGAAAAGAAGTCACAACTCAGAAGAAGGAAAGAGAGCAAAGCTAAATCACAAAAATGATTTATACAATCCAAAAACATTAAGTTAGGTAAATAAAAGATTCAAAGTTTACAAAGTTCCTAAGTGTTGTCAGAGGAAAAAGAAAACAAAACTTTTTTAAGTGGGTACAACACAATAAAACATATCTACATGAGATTATTTTAAAATCACCTTGTTGCCTACCCTAGTGTTAAGCCTAGAAGAAAATCTTACAGAAGTGTAAATAGCTCATTTTTACCAGAGTGCCATTATCACATTTTCTCACGTAAATTCATAAATATACATCAGTCTTTTCAACTTGTTAGTAAAACAAGAAAAATAAAACCTCTGAAAAAAGAAATATCAATCCAATCGTCAGCCAATTCTTTGATATATCCAGGGTTGGATTACCCAATAAGTAAGGTATGCACAGGCTTAATTGTGCTTACTAAATTATCTGTAGTGCACGATTTCACATGGATTTGGTGAAACTGTGCACTACAGATTAGTAAGCACAATTAAGCCCGTGGGTACCTTGCTTACTATAAGCCAGTGCATACCGTGCTTACTGGTTAATCCACCCGATTAATCATACATTCAACAAAATTGTAATGATGCACTCACATTGTCTTTTTTAAGACAACACCTCTATCTGTGCTTTGGAGCTTATCCTGCTCCCCACCTCAGAAACTTTACCAACGATCTCTTCACTGTCTTATTCAACTGTTCAAAAAGATTCTATCCATTCGCTTTCTCTATTAAATATTCAGCTATTCAGAATGATATTGAGAATAATATAACAAATACTTTGTACTTACCACTTACCTCAAGAAATCAGACACTACAAATATCACCTAATTGCAGTCTCCTACCATTTCCATGCATTTCTACTTTGTTTTAGCATTTATACATGTTCTATATATATGTTCTACATTTTAAAATTTGCTGGTAGCATACTTATTTGTCCTAATGCAACTTGCTTTTAAGTCAGTATCGTTGTAAAGGGATACACTCCAATCAGTACCTGTAGCTCTAGTTTATTTTCACTGCTGTAAGGTATTCCTAATTGTACGAACATAACAATATATTTATCCATTCTCCTATTGATAGCCATTTGGATTACTTTCAATTTGTTTGCTACTCTACACAATGCTGCTGTGAAAATTGTTAAACACATCTCCTTGTGCACATGTCCAAGGGCTTCTGCAGGAGAGACTTGATAGGTCAAAAGATATGCACATGTCCCACTTTATTAGAGATTCTCCAATGTGGATGATCAACTCTACACTCCATCAAGCAATGTATGACAGTTCCCCCTGCTCCACATTCCTGCCAACACTTGGTATCATCAGATTGTTTAATTTTTATCAATCTGATGGGTATGAAATATCTCATTATGATGTTAATTTTCATTTTCCCAATTAATAGCAAAGTTTATCATCATGTCACGTTTACTGAAAAATAAAGTGTCTTTTTCTAATTACTTATTTATATCCTTTGTCTACGTTTCTATTTGGTTTTGCATCTTTTTCTTATAATCCCTCAATACTTAATATGTGTTACAAATATCTTCTCCCAGTCTGAAACTTGTTTGTTCACTTTGTTTTTGGTTCACAGAATTTATAATTTTAATGTAGTCAATTTTGCCAATATTTTCCTTTATGGCATTTTGCTTTTTATATCTTACTTTAAAAAATTCTTCACCACTATGAGGTCATAAATGCCCTTCTATCAAGATGTAAGCTGAAATATTAAGAGTCATGATGTGGCATAAAGAGAATACAAACCAAAAGTAACAATGCACAAACACCAGAAGAGAAACTAGATAACTGGGAGCTACTAAAAATCAAACACTTATGCTCATCAAAAGACTTCACCAAAAGAGTAAAAAGACAACCTACAGACTGGGAAAAAAATTTTTGGCTACGACAAATCCAATCAGCATCTAATCTCTAAAATCTACAACATACTGCAAAAACTCAACAACAAAAAGACAAATAACCCAATTAAAAAATGGGCAAAGGATATGAACAGGCACTTTGCCAAAGACACTCAGGCAGCTAACAGACACATGAGGAAATGCTCACCATCATTAGCCGTTAGAGAAATGCAAATCAAAACTACAGTGAGGTACCATCTCACACCAACAAGGCTAGCTTTAATACAAAAAACACAAAATAATAAATGCTGGAGAGGTCATGAAGAGACTGGAACACTTATACACTGTTGGTGGGAATGCAAAATGGTACAACCACTTTGGAAATCGATTCGGCACTTCCTTAAAAAGCTAGAAATAGAAGTACTATATGATCCAGCAATCCCACTCCTTGCAATATACCCTAGAGAAATAAGAGCCATCACACGAACAGATATACACACACTCATGTTCACTGCAGCACTGTTCACGATAGCAAAAAGACGGAAACAACCTAGGTGCCCATCAACTGACGAATGGATAAACAAATTATGGTATAGTCACATAATAGGATACTACACAACAATAAAGAACAACAATGAATCCATGAAATAGCTTATAACATGGAAGAATCCGGAGGGTATTATGCTGAGTGAACTTAGTCACAAAATGACTAATATTGTATAAGACCACTATTATAAGAATTCAAGAAAACGTTTTAACACAGAAGAAAACATTCTTTGATGGTTATGAGGGTGGGGAGGGTGGAAGAGGGGTATTCACTAACTAGATAGTAGACAAGAATTATCTTAGGTGAAGGAAAAGACAGCACACACTACAGGGGAGGTCAGCACAACTGGACTAAACCAAAGCTAAGAAGCTTCCTGAACACAACCAAACACTTCAAGGGACAGAGCAGCAGGAGCAGGGGTCTGGGAGCCATGGTTGCAGAGGACATCTAGGTCAACTGGCTTAACAAAGTTTATTAAGAAAATGTTCTGCATCCCACTTTGGTAAGTGGCGTCTGGGGTCTTAAAAGCTACCGAGCGTCCATCTAATATGCATCAATTGGTCCAAACCCACCTGGAATAAAGGAGAATGAAGAACACCACAGACACAAGGAAAGTATTAGCCCAAGAGACAGAAAGGGCCACAATAACCAGAGACTTCATCAGCCTGAGACCAGAAGAACTAGATGGTACCAGGCTACCACCAAAGACAGCCCTGACAGGGAACACAACAAAGAGTCCCTGACAGAGCAGGAGAAAACTGGGGTGTAGAATTCAAATTCTAGTAAAAAGATCAGACTTAATGGTTTGATTGAGACTGGAGGGGCCCCGGAACACACGGCCCCCAGACTCTCTGTTAGCCCAAAACTAAAACCATTCCCAAGGCCAACTCTTCAGACAAAGATTCGACTGGACTATGGGACATAAAATGATACTTGTGAAGAGTGGGCTTCTCAGTTCAAGTAGAAACATGAGACTAAATGGGCAGCTCCTGTTCAGATGTGAGATGAGAAGACAGAGAGGGTCAGGAGCTGACTGAATGGACACGGGAAATCTGGGGTGGAAAGGAAGAGTGTGCTGTCACAGTATAGGGAGAGCAACAAGGGTCACATAACAATGTATGTATAAATTTTTGTATAAGAGACTTGAATTGTAAACTTTCATTTAAAGCACAATTAAAAAAAAAGTTTCTAATGTGGATTTCAAGAGTTTACTGTGAAAGTAAAAAATGATTATTTATTCTTCTCATTCGATTCTTTCACCAACATTTCATTTGTTCAATAAATGTTTACATCACGCTTAAAAAAAAAAAGAATCATGACGTCTGCAACTCACTTTCTGGGCTGTTATACTGTAATAGCTTATTTGTCTATCCCAATGGAAGCATCACACTTTCTTAATTACCATGGCTTTAAAGTTGTCTTGAAATCTGGTAGGGTTTTTTCGTTCAAAATTGTCTTGCTATTTGTATTAGATCCTTTGGCTGCCAAAACAAATTACCACAAACTTGGTGGCTTGAGGCAATAGATACTTATTCTCTCATGTTCTGAAGGCCAGAGGTTCAACAACAGTGTCACTGAGCCAAAATCAAGAGCATACCCTCTGGAGGGTCTAGGGGAGAATCAGTTCTTGCTTCTTCCAGCTCCCGCTGGCTGCCAGCATCCCTTTGCTTGTGGTCACATCACTTCAGTCTCTCCCTCCATACCGCCATCACCTTCCCCTCTTCTAGAAGTCCTGATGGCACAGTGGTTAAAAGACTCGGCTTCTAACAAAAGGTTGGTGGTTCGAACATACCAACTGCTCCACGGGAGACAGATGTGGGTGTCTGCTTCCATGAAGATTTAAAGCCTTGGAAATCTGTGGGGCAGTTCTACTCTGTCTTATAGGGTTGCTATACATTAGAATCAACTCAAGAGCAATGGGTTTGGTTTTTGGTTTGGTCCCTTCTTCTTTGTGTATCAAATCACCCTCAGTCTCTCTCTTATAAGGACACTTCTGATTGTATTTAAGGCCCACCTGGATAATCTCTCCATGCCAAGATCACTTAATCACACTTGCAAAGACTGTTTTTCCTTATAAGGTAACTTTACAGATTCCAGGGATTAGGACCTGATATCTTTGGGTAGCCATTATTCGGTCTACTAGACTATTCTTAGCCTTTGGCTCTTCCACATAAATTTTAGAATTAGAATGTTGAGATTTTGATTGTAATTATACTGAATCTATAATCTTTACAATATTGAATCCATTTATGAATACAAAATCATTTTCCATTTATTTTTTAATGTCCTTTGATCATGTTTTAGAATTTTCTCATTAAGTCTTACACATCTTTTATTAAATTTATTCCTGATACCTTCCAGTATTTGTTGCTATTATAAATGGTATATTTTTTTAAATGGTATATTTTTAAAACTTAATTTTCTAACAGCTAAAGTACAGAAATGCAATTGATTAATATTTATTGATCTTATAGCCAGATACATTGCTTAAATCTCTTGTCAATTCTAATCATTTGTCTGAAAATGTTTTTGAGTTTTCTATGTAAAGAATTATATAATCTGTGAATAATTACAGTTTTGTTCCCTCATATCCAATCTCTTGTTTATTTTTATTATCTTACGATGTGGCCTCTACTACTATACTAAATAGAAGAGGTGACAAATCTAAGCTTTTAGTGAATATCTTTTATCAAATTAAGGAAGTTATTTTCTATATACATTTTGCTTAAGTTTTTTATTATGAAAGCATTATTAAATGATATAAAATACTAATGCAATTAACTACATTAATATATTTTTTATGTCAGTATATCCTTGAATTATTGGGAAAAAGCCAACTTGCTAATATGTATTATATTTTTTACATATTACTGAACAGTGCTCCAGAGTTCCCTTTCTCAGAGAATGGTCAACACTGGAACACTTGCTACACTACACATAAGCCCAGAAACTAACCTCAACCCATATCCAAGACATCACCAAATTCTGTTAATTTTACCTCCTAAATATCTCTTGTATATCTACCTCTCTCAGTCTCTACTTTCACCACCCTGATCCAAACTACCATAATCTCTTGTATAGACTACTATAATAGTACCATAACTAGATCTCAGCATTAATTTTTTAAACAGTTTTACTGAGATATAATTCATATAACATACAAATGACCCATTTAAAGTGTACAATTCAATGGTTTTTAATAGTCACAGAACTGTACAACCATCACCCACAATCAATTTCAAAACATTTTCATTATCAGTATTTGCCTCTACAAATCCATTTACTACACTGCAGCCAGAGCTCTTTCCAAAATGCATATTATCTCATTTAATCAGAGTAGGCAGCGATTAAATTTTATTGAAATTAATTTTTATGTGATGAACTGCTTAGTTTCTTTAGGTCAAGGTTTATTTCCTTAGTCAAAACCATTTCAGAGAATTACAAAGCAACAATAGGTGACACATACCTAGAGAGTTGTGGGCGGTTGGTACCAGCATTGAAGAGAGTGGGGGAGGCATGAGTAAACCACTTCTCAGAGAGAAGGTTGTATGTTTCAATAGCAGCATCAATGTCTTCTTTGTGAATCCCAACAGATACCCTCATCAACATATGTTGTGGTCTTTCAGCCACTATAAACAAAAGAGGAGTTTTCTCATGATGGGATATATCAGAAAAACTAAGCTGAGACATGCACGTGAATCAAAAAAAAAAAAAAAAAAAACCCAAACCAAAGCCGTCACTGTCGAGTCAATTCTGACTCATAGCAACCCTATAGGACAGAGTAGAACTGCCTCATAGGGTTTCCAAGGAGCACCTGGTAGATTCAAACTGCCAACCTTTTGGTTAGCAGCCAAACTTTTAACCACTACGCTGCCAGGGTTTCCTGATAAGGAACACAAAAATAAAATTAGAAAAACTTTACCCCAATAAGTAGGATAATTATTCTTATACCAAACCTAAAGTTCAAAATGTTATTTAGAGTTTAAATAGAAATGTTAAAGCTAATGACACACAAACATGTTCATTTCTCACCTTTTCCATTGATCTTCAACAAATAGGACCGCTCCAGAGTCTAGAAAAGGCAAAGCAACCAAAAACTTTGAGAGCAGTTTTTAACGATACAGGGAATATATCATTTACAATAAGGCAATCTGTTTAAATCTTCTGTTTTTATATAATTCTAAATTAAAAAGTAAGATATTTACTCTTCCTGGCTTCAGTTTATAGCATTATCAATGGGCTTTTTTGTTTTGGAAAAGACTGCAAGAAATTTTCTGGAAAAAGCCAGCTTTGTAATACTAACAACAGAATTTAGTCGTAATCATCATCATCATCATCATGGATAACACTTATAAAGTGCTTAGAACAGGCTAGGCACTGATCTAAGCAACATATACACTCACTTAATTCTTATAACAACTCTATGGAATTTTATTATCTCCATTCTCAAGATGAGGAAACTGAAGCACAGTGGTTAATTAAGTAACTTACTAGAAGTAACAGAACAGCAATATGAACATAGGTAGTCTGATACCATCACTACAATATACTGTCTGTCAACAAACACAAAAGTACCCAGAAAAGCACCTGGCACACAATAGGGATTTAGTAAATAGTTGTTACATACACAGTAGAATAATATAGAATAATTTTGGCAAACTATCTGTATAACTAACTCCTCAAGTAATCCAGAAGTAATACTTGGAAAACTGAAAATAGGCATGCTATCTTTGCTTTATTCAAACAACCACCACCACCACCCTAACCTCATTAATCCCCCAGTTCCATCCCAACTCCCAACAACTTACTGCCTTTATAGCTATATCGCTAAAATGTAAAAAATCCTGTATTTCCTGATTTAAGGCGGAACTCCCACTTATTTGAAACCCATTACTTACCTTGAAACCAAAGTAATTATAAGAGAAGTCTCGGTCATAGATAATGGCTGAATTCAGGCGCTGATGGGGGGAAACACATAATTAAAATAATTAGAAAATCTATTTTCAACTACATTTATTTTCACAAAATCTGGTATCTTTCAGTCCTGATTCCAGAACTAAAATTGATATAAAATACAAAAAAGATAACTGTAAGCATTACTGCTGTAGAATAGAAATCCATTTAAAACATTAAGAAAAAGAAACAGTATAAACTGAATATCCTAATTAGGTTTAAAAACATGCATATTAAAGACTAGAAGAGAACACACAAATGTAAGTTGTATGATTGAAGGTTATTTTAAAATGTTCCCTATTATATTTATAGTTTATTTATAATTAAACAGGGAAATAATGTGAGTGTTCAATATTCTCATCCTTAAACGTGTTTTTAGATTGGCTGTTGATCCAAAAGTATTGGTACCACATAGTTGTTTATATATATATATAATTTATTTTGTTGCTTTTGTTTTTGAGAATATACACAGAATATACACCAATTCAACAGTTTACATTTACAATTCAGTGACACTGATTACATTCAAGTTGTACAAACATTCTCACCCTCCTTTTCTGAACTGTTCTTCCCCCATCAACATGAACTCATTGCCTCTTAAGTTTCCTATCTAATTTTTCGAGTTACTGTTGCCAATTTGATCCCATATAGATAGTTTCTAAAAGAGCACAATGCTCAAGGCAGACATTCTTTACTAATTAAGCTAATTAAGTCTTGGTTTAAAGAAGACTTCAGGGGAGGTACCACATACTTACTAATACATATTTTTATTTTAAAAATTAGCCTATTTTAAACTGCACATAACAATATATAAATAATGACAGAAGGCAGGATTACATTAATGTTAAGGCTCTTCAAATCTATAGTCCTTTAACGGATTTTAAACAAACTACTGCTGTGACAGTAAGATTTTATAGTAGAATTAGCCATTGTTACAGAGTTTTTGTAAACTATAAAGCCATTTGGAGGAAAATGAAAGCGGTTAGGTACAAATAATCATTTGGATAGAGAGAAATGGAGCCAGTTTTTCAAAATATGAGCAGTGTTTCTGCATAATGATCCATGTCCATGGACTAGAAAAATCTACACCAAACTCTGCTTCCTCTTTCTTTTAAATTTTTAAGGACATCTTTGTTGCCAAAGGCAGGTAAGCCTAGGGTGAACAGTGGAGAACCGAAACACTTGATTATCAATATTTATCTTTTAGACAAAGGTTTTGCTGTTGTTATTTTTGTTTCAACCTGTCATTGAACAACACACAAACAACTCAGAATTTTCTCTTAGTCTCTTTAGCAACAGATACATAGTTCGAGAGACAATCAACTAATCATTCTATTACCTAAAGACTGGCTTCTAATCTTTCCAGATATCCATGGTAAATAAACCCTGTGTGCAAGGGAGCTGGCTGGACCCACACATCTTTTCCCTTCTATGCTCTGGAATCTAGTTAAGAAACAAGCTGGAACCTAAGTGGATAATTTTAAGTTGCTGAGCAAGATCTTTCACAATTTTACCTAAGCAACTTTTTGGGACTCAGTTTGACAACGTCTATCAAAATTCTAAATGCATATACTCTTTGGCTCAGTAATTCTACTTGAGGGATTTATTGTATTCATATACGCATATGAGCAAAAGACATACCATACAAGGATATTCACTGCAGCAAAAAAGGAAAGACAATTTAAATGTCCATCAATCGAAGAATGCTTACATATCTGTACAATGACAATATATAAAATGGAATGCTATGCAGCTATTAGAAAGAACAGAGTAAATTCATAAATGCTGATACAGAACAATCGCTAAGACATACTGGTAAGTGAAAAAAGCAGCCGCGAGAACAGAGTATGCTACCAGTAAAAGGAAAAATAAATATGTGCGCACACACGTGTATTTACAGAGTAGCTCTGCAATAATACATTTAAAAATGATAGAGCACTGTTGTTTCTAGAGAGGAAAACCAGGATTCAGTGCAGAGCAAAGAAAGAGAATTATTTTTTACTTTATATTCTTTGTAGTGCTTAAGTTTTCAAAAATATACATGTTACTTAAAAAAAAACCTATCAAAAAAATTTCACCAGAAAAGCATTAGACATACATCTTTACTGGCCAAAACAATATCCAGTGTTGACTTGGCCACCATGGGAGAGTGTCTGCCATTATGAGGATTTATGTAGTTGTGCAGGTCTTCCATCACATCTGAAAAAAATCAAAATGTCACAAAACCACTTAACAGACAATTCAATCTTCAGGTAATAGTTTAAAACAGTGGTTCTCAACCCTTTTTTTCCATCCCAAACCCCCATCCCAGTGCCTAACATAGAAGGTGCTCAATACACATATATATGCTGAATAAACATATTATAATGCTTCACTTAAAGAAATGATCTTCAGGAGTCAGAGTGTGTGTAAGCTCTTGTAGTCTGGAAAGGATTCCCAGGTGATTCTGATACCCTGTCCCTATGAAAATTGTTGGTTGAAAATAAGGAAATTCAGAAATTATAATCTCTTCTCACTAATTGTTCTTATCCTAACAGAACAGAAATTCAGCTTAAAACTCAGGATCTAGAATCCAAGCATTTCACTTCTATAAAAGCATATTTCAGAAGCTCTCTCACTTTGCTCTTCTTCAAGACATTACAGCAGTTCTTAGCACTATGCATTTACATATAAAACACACACACGCACAAAATGCTGAATTTTTTACTGGGATTGAATTGAATCTATAGAGCAACTTCAGGAGAACTGATATCTTTACAATAAATCTCCTGACAACAGAGGATATAATGATTGAGGCCTTTTATAGCAGATCTAGAATTCAGAGCTGAAAGATTTCTAATCTCAGCTAGTCTACCAAGCTGGCTGCTTATAAACTGAACAAATTATTTCACCTTCCACTGTCCACATTCCCAAGCTGTAAGGGAGTAAAGGAATCAAGTGTTTGCTAGTAGTGACAAAAGATCTACTGTTACGTTTTCTTAAGGCAGAATCTGTCGATAAATATTATTCCTTTTTCCAATCACCCCACCATCAGCTGCCAAAAGACAGGCCTTTTTTTTTTTTTTAAGTACAAAAAAGGTAAGAAACAAGGACTCACTGATCCTTTCATGTAGTAGATTACCAGCATGGAGAAACAGGAAGTTCTAGTCCCCGCTCTGCCACTAACTTGCACATTTTGCTGTTTTAAACAAGATGTAACTTTTCTTTTGACAGTCAAGGTTTCTCTCTAGTGCCCTTAAAAATTTTCAGAGGATACTAAAGTCTTTCTAACTTTTCCACCCCAGACTCACCACTGAACACTTTCTTCGTTTCTTTGTGCAAGTTAGAGACAGCAATCCTTGCTGCCAGGATGGCATAGTCAGGGTGCTTAGTAGTCAAGGTTGCAGCTGTTTCAGCAGCCAAAGTGTCTAGTTCCACAGTGGTGACCCCACTGTATAAGCCCTGGATTACTTTCATGGTGATCTGAGCCTACAAAAACAAAGCCAAGAGTTACCTGCACTTTCCCGAGAACCAACAGCTTCCTTTAAAAATAATTAGGAAAACAATCATATTGATATCATAATGAAACAGCCAACTACTTTTTTGGAAAAGTTACTTTTCAGAAAGGTGGGTTGTAAAAAACATAGTAGTGAGAATTCATAAACCAACAGAACTGCCAGAAAACACATACTACAAATACAATGAAAAAGTGTCACTTAAAAAAAAATAGTAATTTAAGGGTGGTCTTTAAAAACATTAAGTCTCATAATAGCTGAAAAGAGACCAATGATCTGCAAGTATTTCCTCATCTTTCATTCAAATTCTCCCTACATGATCAGGGCTCCAACTACATCCTTATCCACCCTTCCCCAATTCCACATAAGGACAAGTACAGGAAAGCAAATTAATCAAACTTGAATCATTCCAATGAAAGGAAATGCAGGTCTGCAAAGCTTACCAGTGGTTACCAGAGGCGGGAGGAAAGGGAAAAGGGATAGTTACTGCTTAGGGGACACTGAGCTTCTGTTAATGGTGGTGGAATAATTTGGAAAAGGACAGTGGTAATGGCTGATGATGATCAATGGCACAGCATGATGAACATAATCAATGTCACTGGATTGTACATGTGAAAATTGTTGAATTGAAAAAGTTTTGCTATATATATTTTTACCACAATTTTAAAAAAAGAGAGAGATTAAGTTCTGAATGATGGTTAGGACTGAGTCTTTTTTTTTTTTTTTTTGCTTTTCAACAGTTTCTACAATTCAATGACAATGATGACATTCTTCAAGTTGTGCAACCATTCTCAGCTTTCTTTTCTCAGTTGTTCCTCACCTATTAACACAGACTCACTACCCCCTAAGATTCCTATCTAAACTTTCGAGTTGCTGTTGTCAATTTGATCCCATATGGATAGTTTTCAAAAGAGCATAATGCTGAAGGCAGACATTTTTTACTAGTTAAGCTAAACTATTATTTGATTTTAAGAAGACTTCAGGGAATATTTTTGGTTTAAACATTATCTCAGGGCAATAGTTTTAGGGGTTCATCAAATAATTTTTAATGACTACTCTTTCTTTAGCACTTCACAAATTACAAAGTCAAACTTCATAATCTTCTCTGATATTTCAAAATCACTTTGTGAGATGGTATTATTACTACCACCACTTTACATGAGGAACCTGAGGCTCAGGTTACTGGGACTTGCCCAAGGTTATATTACTATCCAGATCTTCCATTCAACCTCACCGCATTACACTGTTTTCCAGATCATATTATAAGAGGTTCCACTTTTAAAACACACAATGCACAAGTTAATACCATATTAACTCTCTTTAAAAAAAAAAAAATTTTTAAGAGAAACAAATTATAAGTTGCACATATGTGTATATGTTTACTGCACCTTTAAAAAACAGCCAGTCTAACAGAAAATGAATGTATTACCCAGCTGACTGAAGCGCATCGTCCTCAAAAAAAAAAATACACACACACACTACACACACACACACACACACACACACACACACACACACACACACACACACACAAGGAGGTGAGGGAAGGGCCAGAAATAAGAAAAAAGTAGAAAGAATCACAGGAAGCAAGGAACCCAAGATATAAACACTATTTACTTACAGGATCAACAAAGTCCATATTGAGTCCATAGCAAAGCTTCTGGATTCGAGAAGTGATTTTGTCGAACATGACCCGCTCTTGGCGGCCATCTGAATAATCATATCATACAACTCATGTTAGAACTAATTAAGATGGCAATGTCAAAGAATCAAAACGTAATCAACGTCTGAACTTTTTAAATTGACCAACATGAAATGCTATTACAAAGATAAAAGATTCTGACCCCCAATAGATTCATCAAGAGATTATTTTTGTCTTCTCTTATGTCATCTTCAAAATTTAGGGATTCTACACTGAAAGCTTTCCCTTCCTTTATATTATAACTCAGATGGATTCGTGCAATAACTTCACAACTGATCTATATTCCCCCTTGTCCCACACAACAGCCAGAGCTATCCTTTAAAACTTAAGTTAAAAATCTTATCATTACCACCACCACCCAAAGCCCCTAACAGTGGCTTCCTATCTCCTATGGAGTAAAAGTCAAAATCTTTACAATAGTCCATAGGACCCTACAAGACCTGCCCTCTGCCCCCCCTCCCCGCAACCAACTTCACCTTCTACTCTCCCACCCTCCTCACTTACTCTACCCTGGCAACCCCAGCCTCCTTGCTATCCATACCTCCTTTACTCAATATCTCATTCTCAAGGAGGCCTTTCCTGATCACTCTATTTTAAATTGTAATACCCCAAACATAACTCTGCTCCTCTTAGTCCCTTTCTTTCTATGCTTTACTTTTCTCCATAGCCCTTACCACCATCTGACATCCTATATACCAAAAAAACTAAACCAAACCCATTGCCGTCAAGTCGATTCTGACTCATAGCGACCGTAAAGGACAGAGTAGAACTGCCCCATAGGGTTTCCAAGGAGCAGCTGGTGGATTCAAACTGCCAACCTTCTGGTTAGCAGCAGAACTCAACCACTGCACCACCGGGGCCCCGTCTGTAGTTCTCTGTAAAATATCCTAAGTCCTTATAGGGCCCTCCATTCCCACATCTGCATCATTGCTTATACCTTACTATGCCTAGAAGTCCCTCTTCCACCTTCCATATATCTAAATTCTACTCACCCTCCGAATCTCATCGCCTCCATAAAGCCCTCCCAAACCATTTTAACTCACATTGACCTCGTCCTCCTCTGAAATCCTCTGGAACACTAATTGACTGATTCCTCTTTGGTTATAAGCTGTCTTCTTTAATTCTTCTTTTCAGTAAGTCTTCACTAATTCTATAAGACTAAGGATGTGCTTCTTCTACATACTATGAACGTGCTATTCCCTCCTCCTGGAATGTTCAGGACACAGATCTCCACATAGTATTATTCAGGGCTCAGCTCAAATGTCAGCTCTCAGAAAAACCTTCCCTGATTGCCCAATCCAACATCATCTTCTCAGTCATTCTTTATCACATCAACATATTTTACTATCTTCATCTCACTAATCACTATCTGAAATTACCTGATTCTTATGTTTATTTCTTGTATACACTTACCACTCCCACCTACACCACAATGTAAACTCCATGAGAAAATGGATCTAGCCTGCTTTGTTCATTGCTGAAATCCCCAGCACCTAAGAGTTCCTAGTACCAAGAGGTGCTAAATAAATATTCTCTGAATAATTAAATGAATAGGCTCCTAAAGCCTATACTTAACCTACCAGAGTATTTATCATATTTTATTATAATTACTTTTTATTTGTCTATGTTTCCCAATTGATTGTAAGATTCTTGAAAACAGTAACCAGGGCTGCCTACTCACCACTGTAATCTCAGTGCCCAGCACGGAATCCAGCACACAGTTTTAAAATAATAAAGTGAGCTGGAAACGGCACTAGGAAAGAAGGGTAGGCGAAGGGGAAGGGAGGGAAGAAGGGAAAGGGCCTAGACTAGAAAAGAGATTATCAGAGTGCAAACGAATGCTTGAGGAGGTATTATTTCATGAACTTCTGTTTCAGTTCTGTGGATATACACACATATATGTGTATATACTCAGTCATGATGTAAAAATGTATTTTTTACTATGAAATACAATCCAAAGTTTAGAAAATGCTCTACTAAATTCCAAAGCAGTTTACAACTCAGTCAGCTACTCCGTCATTTACTGTAATGCTTCTCAATTTTTATTTTTTAACCTTAATCTCCTTGAAGGATATGATACTCTCTCATTAAGAAAAATAGCTCAAAAAGAAGATAAGAAAAATTCGTCTACTATTCCCTTCTGTTATCTAACAATTTTCAGATGGATTTTTTTCTACATCCCTAACAACTGTAAGTTCTTTGAAGATGGAGCTGCTTCACCAGGTGCCCTCCTAAATAATTACATTAAAATTAAAAACTGCAGGAGTTAGTCTGCCATTACACTGATACGCCAAAAATTAGAGGGGAAAAAGAAAAGCCTAAGCACATTAAAAAAAAAAAAAATGAGTACAATTTTGTATATGAAGAGGCCTTGCTGAACCAAAACATAAAACATAGGCAGGGTCCAGAGCAGTGAAATATCTGGATCAAATTATGTTCTCTGAAAGAATGAGAAACAAAACAAGCCCTGCCTTTTAGAGATTGTTGTAGGTAGTGCTTTTTAAACCACAGTATCCCAAAGTGGACCCAAAATGTTAAAAGTTCAACAAAGAGGTGTTAACTAACTACTCCAGTAATCTATGTCCACAAGTTTTCATTACACCTTTGTTATAAGACTTATCATAAGAATATCCTCAAATATCCCTTTCTAAAGGTCTAAAAAACTGGATGTTCATCTTTCACTCACAGGAATGGACCAATAAGGTGCAAACAGTTATCACCCTCGGCTACTAAACAAAAAGTTAGAGGTTCGAGTCCACCCAGAGGCACCTCGGGGAAAAAGGCCTAGCAATCTACTTCCAAAAAATCAGCCATTGAAAATCCTGTAGAGCAATTCTACTTTGACACACATGAGGCTGCCATGAGTCGGGGTCAACTCGACATTAATTGGCTATGTATTTTGTTCTTCGGTCTCATTAGCTAAGATGGAGGGGCTAGGGAAATTCAGAGAACAGTGTTCTCATATACTAAAAACAAAAAGAAGGGCCGCCACTATCTACCTTTCCACCTCTTGAATGTAGTTAAACCAATCTGGATAAATCAAATCAACTATCTGCCTAGGTACAACACTCATCATATCCTCTGTTTTGACATTAATTATTCTCATTAATTCTTTGAGCACCTATTCATAGTAGGTCCTATGCTAAGTGTAGGTAGAAAAGCCCCGGTCTTTGAAATGTTCACAGCGTAATGGACAAAACAGGAACATACAGTCAGTCAACCAGTATTTACTGAGTGCCCACAATTTCCTGAGCGCCTGAAAGTTTGACAGTTCAAACCTACCTAGCAGCTGTGCAGGAGAAAGACCTGGCAATTTTCTCCCATAAAGATTACAGCCCAAAAAATCCTATGGGCCAGTTGCACTCTGTCACGTGAGTTCACTATGAGTCAAAAATCAACTCATAGTGAAAATCAACCTAACAACAACAATTTTGAAACAACTGCTTTAACAGAGGGGAGTAGATTCAACTCAAAATTTGTTCATACCTGTCTCATACGGTTCTAAGAGTATGTCGCTCTTGTTTTAACCAACCTGATTAAACCTATTCCCAAGGCAACGACTTGTCTTCCCTTTTAAGCTCACATAGCCAAGCAAAGGGCTGGGCACAAAGGAAGCGCTCAGCAAGTCTAATGGGAAATTAATGTTAAGAAGGAGTACAAACCCCTGGCTCTTCCCTGTCCTATTCTGTCGGAAGATATTTTGGCCATCCTTCAGTATCTCTTCTCATCAGATGGAAAGACAGGTAGTCCCTGTCCCAAAGTCTCCTTTGAGACTATTCCTGGGGCATATGACAACACAATCTGTCACAAAGGGCAAACTCCAGGGAGCTGTGTCTGGGTACCTGCCTTTTTCACCCTACAGCTCTACCTCATCCTACAAAAGAGCTCTGGAAACTGCCAGGTGCCCGTGTACCGAATCCCTTCTTTCCTATCTCCCCAGGGCGCCTTGGGCAGCTTACCAACCCCAAGGTTTTCAAATAATCTTTGGTGTCAGCTATGGGTTCGAACCCTGGCCTCATCATCAACTAACTGGGTAACTTTGGGCCAGTCACCAAACCTCACTCTGAGCTTCAGTTTCTTCAAGTGCGAAGTGGAGCTAATAATAATAATCCCTACCTCAGAGGCTCGTGATGAGGAATAAAATAAGGCCTGTAAAGTGCTGGGCGCACACAGTTAACTACTCGATAAAGGGTAGGGGTTGTTCTTTTGAAATGCAGCAGGATGACAAAGCCGAGGGGCGCCGACTGAACGTCCGAGGGAGGATGGGGGGCAAGCTGATCGAAGACAGAAGGCCGCGCAGGCTGACAGGGCGGGAATCGGCAGCGGGAAGGGCGGGAAGCAGCGGCGGCGGCGGGCGGCCGTGGGTAACGGCGTCCCTTTCTGCCCCTCCCCACACACCGCATCCCCCTTCTGCCTTCCCCACCCAGCCCGCAGCCCCTTCCCCGGCCCCTCACCTCGCTTGATCACATGCATCGCAGCTACTGGCTGAGGTGCTGAGAGGTTCGACTTGGAGCTGCGGCTGAGGCGTCGGCAAGATCGCGAAGGTGGCACAGTGCGAAGGGTCGTGCTCCAGGGGCTGCTGAATAGGCGCTCAGGATGGGCAGGGACTGGAGTTGGGGACTGAGAGCGCGGTCCTCACCAAAACAGGGGCGCGGCAATCTGAATCCCCTTCCCGCTCCCGCCACCTGTGACGCAAAACCGGCGCGACGGAGCTCGAATGACGTTACTCGACACTGTCTACGCCCAGGGCCGGATGGGCAGGACTAGCGGCAAGTCAGGTTGCCCAGTAGCCGCCATGTTGAGTATGGGCGGGGCCCAGGAGACTGCGCGTGTCCCGCGGCCCCATTGAGTGTGAACACTCCCGGTGGGAACGCTGTTCTCCCGCCGCCATGCAGAGTGTGGGCAAAGCTGAAAGGCCCCACAGCCCTGACACAGCACGCAGAGCTCGCCAGGCCCGGCCCTGTCCCTTTCGCCAGGTGCTCCCGCCACATCAAGATAGGTCAAGTATTTTTAAGATAACAACAAAAATCCAAGCAGCCAAAATACATCGTTTTGATGACTGTTCCATTATGATAACCCTAGACTGTAGTCCACGTGGGCTCTAGCCTAGGATCCACAACCAGGGGCAGCTGGGAGCCCTACAGCTACTAGGTTGGCCAGAAGCTTGTCACTCAGTAGGGTTGGAAGAGAGTCTTACTAGGTCAAAGGCATTTGGATTTTAATCTGAAGGAAATGGGAGCCCTGGGAGGGTTTTAAACATGGCAGGGCCAAGGCCCATTTGCTTTTAGAGCACTCCAGTGGATGGTGGGTGGCAGAGACAGGGTCAGCAATCAGGCAGTTGTTGCCTTGTGCAAGTCGAATGGCCGCGGCTTGGTGAGTGTTTGAATGTGGGGACTAAGACAGAGGCCTAATGTAAAAGGCTTGGGTAAAAGCTTCTGATTTCGGCTACACAAACTGATCTTTATGAAATCTCATCTATGGCATTCCCTCCCTAAACTCTTTCACTGGTTCCTCACTGCCCTGTACATGCAGCCCAAGCTCCCTGTGAGGTAATTTACTAAAGGTCATAGGAGGCCATAGATGAAGCTCTAAGATAATTGGGGTCAAGATGGCCCAGAAATAGGGATGTTAGATTTAGCAAATAAAAAAATTATCCCAATACTACATGGTACATAATTATACTAAAAATTGTTTATCTGAAGGTCAACTTTAACTGCGCATCCTATATTTTATCTGGTAACCCCACCCAGAAAGCTTTTGAGTATGTGCATTCAAGTTTCATTTTCCCATGGCAGAGGAGAATTAGTCTAGTCTTCACCCTCTGCCTGCTTTGCCCCAGAGAACACAACACAAATGAGAGTCAAAGCCAGCACAGGTTAAAATCTCCTACATGCTTTATTGGACTTCAAAGAGTCTTATGAAATGGCACAGAAAAACCCATGTGAGGGGGCCCAGAGGGTACAAGGCGGTCTGTAGCCTAGCACCCTCCTAAGACCAGCCCCAGGTACCCCCATCCCAGGCCCAAAATAGGATCCCAGGGTAGAAGCATGACAGGGAATGGGGCAGAAGGAAAATACCTTTACAGCCATAGCAAAAACAGGTAAGGGAGGGGGTTGTCTAGAGGCTGGGAAGGGGGAGGGGAGTGGTCATACAGCCACCTTCACCTACACCATCTTCCTTAGCCACCCCTTCCCCAAACTAGTTGTATCCTTTTTGAGCCTCTGGCCCAGGCTATGCAGTAACATGAAAATGGGATCTGACAAGGGGAGTATGTGGTGCAGGCACTTGGGAAATTCAGGAGATTTCTTTTTTCACTTTTAAACTGTTTTGGTTCAAATGCAACAGCATCATTGCCCAACAGCTACAGGGCCCCATTGGAGCCCTGTATCATAGCTGTGGCTCCAATGGCCAGGGAGCCAATTGTCCTGAGCCCCAGAAGTATTGATGCTTGGGGAGCATTGGGGCAGCACCTCTTAGAGACAAACCCTCCTGCATTGTGGGTAAGTAGGGGGAAGAGGGTGGCAGGTGTGGGAGGGAGAAGAAAGGTGACTACCTTGTAGCACAAAGCTCTGGCATCTACTCATCCTCCAGCTAAGAGAGGCCTCTCCCTATCCATCCTCTAGCCTGGCCTCTCTTTGAAAATCTTTGGTGGCTTGTTCCTTGGAGTTGGCTTCACTTCCCTATGGACCTCTGGAGGCCTCAGTGAGCTCCAGGCTGAGGTTCCCTCAGGCCCGCCACACTCCCAAAGAACAAATCCCGAAGATTAGGCCCTTGGTCCTAGCCCCAGTCTGGGGCAAACAGAACCATCATGGTGGGGTGGGACTGATCTGAGACACAAGTGTCAGAAGTTACTCCACCTATCTTCCCCAAAGCTGCTAGGGGAAGTTGGGGAGTGGGGGAAGGCAGGAGCCTGAAAGCAGAAGACAGAGAGAAACAAGAAACCAAACCTCAAAACTGGGACAGCAGAGGCAGAAGCTGGACCCCAGAGGTGGAGCTGGGAGCTGAGAGGGCAGAGAGGGGATAGCAACTAAGACATGCACTGAAGTGGAGAGGGCATGACAGCAGCAGCCCATGGTTGGGAGGAAGTCAGGGCAGGCAGGCCATGGTGGTCAGTTAATAAATAATGTTGAAGGACCCAAGGACAAGGGGAGTGGGTATGTACAGTGCCCAGGCCCCTGGGCCAGCCCCTCCCCTGCCCCACTCTAGGGCCTAGGTATCTTGGGGGTGGAGAATGAGGAGGCAGAAGATCCAGGAAAGGACAAGCTGTCCCACCACTACCACCCCAATCCTGCCTACTTCTTAAGAGGCTTCTTAAAGATTTTGAGGGGAAACTTCTTCCGGCCTGGGCTGGAGTCTGTCTCCTCACCAATGGAGCCATTATCCTCCTCAGCCACGGCCTTCTTGCCAGCTAGGTGGGGAATGCGTGTATTTCGGCTGGCCTGCAGGACTCGGCTGTCCCCAGCTGAAGATGGCGTGTCTGGGTCTAGGGGACTGGGGCTGTGAGAACGGGAAGAATCCAAAGGTGGAGAGCCGCTAGGTGGGGCTGAGGGGCTCAGCTCCATCAGGCTGTGGGCTTTATTCAGCCCATGGTTCAGCGCCAGTAGTGCCTTCTTGGCCAGGGCAGGGCTGTCAGGCAGTTTCTCCAACAGAGACCCTGCGTGGACCCCCTCAATTGGCCGGTGGCTGCCATTGGAAGTCACGACACTGACAGCCTCATCTGCAGCACGGACCATCTGAGGAGGCTTGGGGGCCATTCGCTGGCGGTCACTCATGTGGAGGGAGGACTCCGAATCGGAATGGGTCAAATCCCTGCAAGACACGGGCAAAGAGAAAGAAAAGGACACACATAGGATAGGAGACAGAGGAAAAGTTGAGGAGGAGAAAAAGACATATGAGAAGATAAGGACAGGGTAGAAAAATGAGGATGGAAAGAGGGACAGAAGAAAGAAAATAGAATGAACAAGCATGTGGGAAGGAGAAGGGAAGGAGGAACAGAAGGAAGTTGAGTAGGCCAGAGGTACAAGATGAGAGGAGACAGGAATAAAGAATGGGGATAGATTGGACAAGAGACAGTAGAATTGGGGAGAAGGAAAAACAAAAGGAGAAACAGATACAAGAAGGACCAAGGGGTGAAAGAAAAGAAAGTGAAAAGTGAAGAGAGGAAAGAGACAGAAATAAGAAACAGAAACAAATGTCATTATACGATCATCTGGTTGGCAAAGGGCTTTTCAATGACTGTGGTCCACTCCTGCTAGATGCTCAAGCCCTAAGTTGGTGCAATTATAAGCTTAAATCCCACGGTGTTCTCCTCAATAAAATATCCTCCTTCCCATAGCTGGCTCGATTTCTTAGGACTCAAACCTAAGCTAACAGAAAACCACCTATTTCTGAGCCACCTCTAAGCCACCATTTCCAATAGCTTCCTCCCCCACCTACTCCTCTCATCCGGGGATACATCCAGCTCTGGGCGAGGCCCCAAGGAACAGGGCACATGCAGTCAGTGGGCCTGACCCAGGCTGGGAAGAAGATTAGAATAGCCTTGCAAACAATCCCTCACCAACCCCAAAAGGCCAGGATGCTGCCACTTCCAACCCTCTCATAGGACTCGAAGGAAGTCACAGAGAAAAGTGTTGTAAGAGTTCAAACAGTAGTCTGTGGTGGCAGCAGGAAGGGTGGGGTCTCTTTCAGAGCTCTGCTGACAAGGAGAATATAGGAAGGTGTAGAAAGACAGACATTGGCCTTTAAGGGGCAGTGGTTCAGAAGAGCTCTAGACCAGAAGTCTAGGTTTCCATCTGGTTCGATTTCCATCTCTGCCTGAGGCTTGCTGCTGAGGCTTGGACAAGTCATCTGACTTTGCTGGTCCTCAATTTTGGCCAAATGAAGATAATATCAATTCAATGCTTTTGCAAGACTGTTTGGAGGATCAAATACACTGGCAAAGCACTTGGAAATGTAGAAAGTATTGTGGGAATGAAGATGATGAGGCCAGTAAAGCTGGAAGGGCTGCATATGGACAAGTCACAATGGGCTTCTTTGCAAGGCTGAGTTATGGGGACATGCCACTGCACAGTGGACATGCACACACAGAGGCTCGACTAGGAACTCGAGACCCTTTAAGTGTCTGGCTCTTCCTACGAAGGCTATGAACTAATTCTGGATGACACACCTTCTGCCTCTACAGACAAAAAGGTAGATATGGGGGTCCCCAAACCAGTCCCTGAACCCTCCTTCTGCTTCCCAGAGACCTGAGAACCTATAGCAGAGGCAGAGGATAGGGCTAAGGGAAATGTTTAAATATGTGAGTCAGGAAGCTAAAGGAAAGGAGACATAAATGGGAGAGGAGAGTACCACAGGATCTGGCAAGAAGGATGCTGAGGGTTGCAAGTCAGAAGGGCACTGGGCCCCTGTAACAAGCAAAAGCATGGGGTTAGCTCACAGCTGTTGCAGATTTAAGTCTTAGTAGGAAACAACTAACTAAGCAGCCACCCCGTGGGCCAGTAACTTCCTCGAGACATGGGAGAGTAGAGAGAAGAATTCTAGCCCCAGCATCTGTTCTACAAATACTGTTCCAGCCACATGTCCCAGCACTTACCAATATTCAGTCTCATACTTAATTTTCATACATCTAACACTGTCCTGGATTCTACCTAAATGTGTCCTGTCTCTCTGAGCCCCAAGA